TGAGTAAATTTTTCAGTAGGAGGTGCGTTACTATATATACCGTTAAAGTCCATACTATATCGAACTCAAATATTATCTTGTGTACTATTGTTCCCAAAACGCTTACAAATAATATTATTTTAAAATACATATGCAAGTCGTAGTTGATAACTGAACGATAATGAAGATCTTTTATTATATTTTTCTGACAGTTTTCGGCGCAAGTGGTAAGTTACTATATAATGTTAAATATAAAAAGACAATGAAAATATATCCCTCGTATTGAACCCTCTACAAAAGAACTTAAATTAAAGGGTTAATATTTGTGACTATCATAATATCAACTAAGTCACCATGAAGTCGCTTTAAGTATTTTGAAAATTGAAAATAGCTGTTTTTATGTATCTATTACATATATATATTGAGAGCATATTTAGTGATAATTGTTTCAATTTGTTTTTAACAATCTTTAAATTTAGAAAAAATATTTTTATTCATTGCACATAATCAACTGATAAATATAGGTACATTAGGATTACAATTAGATCAATATTTAGTTTTATCACCGTTGGCCGCAATACACAATTCCAATCGGGAATTCGTACTCCCGATTAAAGACTCCAAATATTTAGGGACCAAATCGTTCCAAACGGTCTCGATTTTGGCCATCCAATTGTCAATCGAGCGTTCAGTCTCTTTCTCAAGGGTATCTTTCATCAATTTCAATAGTGTAGCGCTCATGGTTTAGTGATTCACCCGTTCGCAGACGCCGGACAGTCTGGTAAACTGTTGCCTGGGATATACCCGTTATAGCCATCAGGTATTGCGGGTCCGTGTGGCCTCTATCCCAGTGTCACTAGAGTGTTCTTCTGGTATCGAGTGCCGCGATCTTATGGCCAACTTTGCTCTTATTTTCCATCAATACTACTGATAATTGTATGGCATGTGACACAACAATCGATTGGTAATTTGATTCTCAATTCAAATGTGTGCTTTGTTTTCATGGTAATAGCCTAGCATCAAATGAATCAATCAAAAACTAGGTGACATAATTTTATAGCTAAATCTGCTCCCAACAAGGTTTAACAGTTCTTTAATTGACCCATCCATCCAGCTATGTTAACCTCGTCACTTTAAGCAAAAAATTCTACCATTAGTATACATATTATTGTACGGAACTGATAATTACAATTTAATGTACATAGTTGCAGAAAAATGTAATAATCGTATTAATTCCAATGGAGATTATTCCAGTCGTCTTTCTCCGGGGGTTTTTACAGAAACTGAACACTTATACAAATATAAACCCCATTCTCATGAATTGCATAATCACTATGCTAATGATAAGGATTATAGTGGTGAAATGCATTTACCACCTCGAAGAAAAATTGATAATTTCGTCAGTGATGACGTAGACGCAGACGAACCTACTAATAGAATTGTTGGTGGAGAAAAGGTTAATAACATTGAAGAATACCCTTTTCATGTGGTGATGATTGGTGAAAATGACGAACATTATAGAGTTTGCGGAGGAGCAATAATTGCAGATAAATTCATCATCACTTGTGCTCACTGTTTTGTTAGGTAGGTGAAACAAAATATACTTAAATGTTTATAAGCAACAACGTAACATACAGCAACATCAAATTTTTCATATTTACAATCGACTTATAGCAAGACGAGACAATACGATATTGTCTTAACTGATTCAAATATTATCTCAAGAATTATTGATCTCAATGTTGATATAATAATAAAAAAGAAGGTTTGTTCCAGCATGCACAAGAGCCCAGATAACTTTTTGAAGTCAAACTTCTTTACGCACGGTAGGATAAGTTCGCTTCACGCGAGTTGCTACGTAACGAAATCATGCAACGGTTGTCCGCCCTCTACTCGGCCACGTAGTCGAGTTCGTGGTGGGGATAGCTTGAGCCGTGAGCGCGCTTCAATGCAACGTTCGTTACAGGCAACTCCGGCATGTATAGTGTAAAATTTAAATTCGTAGTGTAAAATAATACCATTAAACCAATTTCTTAACCTCTATCCCGATATGTTTCTGTGTTTAAAGAAGTTTCACTTCAGTAGCGTGTTATATAAATAATTACACGTTGTTTTTTTTTGCTAAACATTTGTATTGTATTATACGCTCTACAACGATGTAATTTATAAAACAAATTCAACTTTAGTCGTAGTGCTTAAAATAATATTTCACACCTCAATTGTAGATATCCGTATTAAAAAAACAGTAATTATTTTGATTTGCAAAAAAAAATTATATGCACGAGAGGATTCTCTTTTGTTAAAATAAAACAAGATGATGTTTTGTTTATTTATGTCACGTACATAAAGGATCGCATGTAGAAAACCTCATAAAATCAGCCAAAATCACAATTTTTCAAAAATTCCAGCGGGACATAAATTGACCATATTAGAATGTTCGTCAATTGCACCATAATATGAACTGACTGCATTTCATTATTACTTAAAAGTAAAAAATTGGTTTCGTAAAAACAGAATAACAAGCACATATGTTAGATAAAATGATGTTGTTGCAGTATTGATGCTGTAGACCATCACGTGAAAGCTGGAATATCGAATTTACTGCAGAAGGCGCAAATTCGAGAGGGTGCTAAAGTATTTAAACATAAAAAGTATCCTGGTGGCTACTTTGAGAACGACATTGGACTTCTAAAGGTATGTTCAAATAAATGTCGACTTCCATTACCGAATTAATTTAGGCAAGTACCTATTATAAATGTTATGTTACTTTGAGTAACACAAAAAGATTGTAAATAAGACTAACACTAAATCTAGGAGCGTCAGATGGTCGTACGTTGCGGGTTACCCCGTTTTTCGCGCTACAATAATTTGAAAACCCATCATCATCATGAGGTTATCAGTCTTAAGACTGGTTAGACACGCACCTCCACTTTTCCTATCCTGAGCTAATCTTTGCATTTCCCTAAAACTAGAACAACCCCCATCCTTAACTACTTCCGAACAGTGATCTAATCTAGGTCTACCTCTACCCCTCCTAACTTCCGTTTCTGCCTCTAATATGTCTTTCACTAGACCTTCATGCCTTAGAAGGTGTCCTACTAACCCATCTCGCCTGTTTCTTATTAACTTCCATAGAGTCTTCTGTTCTCTTACTCATTCTAATACTTCGTCATTTCTAACCTTCTCTATCCACTGTATCTTCATCATGCCCGTGTAACATCTCATTTCGAACGCTTCTAACCTTTTCTTTTCTGCCGCACTGTCCATGTTTCGCACCCATACAGCGCCGTGCTCCAAACAGACACCTTTAACAAACTTTTTCAAATTTCTAAATTAACCGTTCGCGAGATTAGAAGTGACCTCTTTTTATTGCAAGCGTCTCGACTTTACGCTATCCTCTGCTGTATATCCCTACTACTCCTTCCGGCCTGACTCATCTGACTTCCTAGATACCTATAATCGACCACTTCTTCTAATTTTTCGTCTCCTATATTTATATTCACTCTTGCTCAACTTCTTCTTCCCTTGGATATCAGTTTTTTGTTTTGCATTTATTTATTTTCATACAGTAGTGTTTTGTCAGTACCGCTTCCTTTTTATCTCTAAGTGTTCCTTGATAGATGCTAATACTGCTATATCATCTACAAATCTAAGCATACTAATCTTTTGTCCCTGTATATTTATCCCTACAGTTGTACTGTCTTTAATGATGTTGATCGCGTCTTCCATGTAAAGATTAAAAAGTAGCGGTGACAGTGTGCATCCCTGTCTGACTACCTTCCCAATATTTACTCCTCTACGTTGCAGTCCCAGCTCTATAACTGCCTGTTGGCCTTTGTACAAACTAAGTGTCATTCTTCTACCTTTGAAAACCCATAATTAGCAAAATTAAATACAGGGTAAACAAAGCTTTTTGAAAATTTCGTAATGGCCGGCTTGCTCAACTAAACATAGGCGTTACCTCTAGCCTGCCTCGGCTGTATGAGTTTGAAAAGATATTTTTCTTGTGAGGCAATGCATAGACGGATAGCCGAAACAGATTTGATATCGATACCGTCAAAGCGAAGCTTCAAGTATAATGTAATGTTAAATTATCGTGTAAAGATTTTTATGTATTTACCCCACAAAATGCCGTTTTTATTGTCTCCCGTCTAAAACCCGCATCTTTAATGCCGGTAACCCTGAAATGAGGAACTAGCAGGTGGCAACCCTAACTAGACCTCATTGCTAAAAAATGTGTAAGTGGAGACTGCCATTCTTCTCAAACAACGGTTCAACAAAAGATTAAAACAGTTCCTTCCAGGTTAAAGAACCGTTCAAATTTAGTGCGAAAGTGGGAAAAATAGGCTTGCCTCATGCTGCTGCATGTTTTATAGTGGGCGACATTGTAACAATCCTAGGATTCGGCCAAACTACTGTACATCCAACTGAAATACCGAACGAGAACCTTCACGTCTTAAAAGCTCCACTGACTTCCCGGGAAAGATGTATGGAACGAAAAATTGAATTTGTGGGCGTTGAAATGACAGAGAGAGTGCTTTGTACTGATACGCCACCAGGTTATGGTGTATGTTTTGTAAGTGAGCAAATATTTAAAGATTCTTTCATAAATTGTTCTTATATTTATTTTTAATGTTGGATTTAACGGCTGAATTATAACGTTCAGATGAAACGCTACATTGAGATAATGGTTGAGTACGGTTTATAGAAAATAGTAAATGGCCTTATACAATTTGTAATTTTCCGAAATATGAGGAATATTCCAAAAACTGTGAATGTGAAATTGCATTGCTAACCCTTTGTGATTGCGTTTCTCTTCCATTTTATCTCGAGAGCTACAGAACAGAGTTTGTTACCCATTAATTTTTTAGGGAGACTCAGGTGGGCCCATGGTGATAGACGGATACGTCATAGGGCTAGTGGCACATGGAAGTATGTGTGCCTTAGGCGAACCTGACATATATACCAGTGTAACGTTTTACCTTAAATGGATACACAACATACTTACAAATTATCAATAAAAGTAATTCAGTTTATCTCTTTTATTATATATTGCTTTTAGTAAACTGTACTTATTATGTTACTAATAAATGGGATTTATGGTATTCGATTCTCAAAGGTAAATGTGATTGACTGTTAGGTTTAGACAGGGGGCGCTACGGGAGACAATGAGATACATTGACAGGATGCCTTCTTCAGGCGTGGACGGCTAGCTAGAGACGTATTAGAAGTAAGGACAAGAGTTAAGAAGATTAGTGTTAGACGTAGATTAGCTTAGATTACTATTCACAAATAATTAAGGATGTGAAATGTTTTAGTTTTTAGGGAAATACGAAGATTAGCTCAGGATAGGAAATGGTATAGGTGCCTGATCAACCAGTCTTAGGACTCTTAGACATTCAACTTGTCGTACTAAGTAATTTTGAAGAGAACAATTAATTTCAATTTGTTTGAGTGAAATAGTAACCAAAAGATAATTTTGTTGTAATTTGAAAAAAGTCGAAACAATTTTGTACAATTTATTCTAAATAATGTTTACAGTCAAGATTATATGATTATCATAAGGTCGTCAGTCCTAAGACTAGTTAGACGCGCACCTCCTCAAAATTATATAAATTAATTAAATTTTGGTCGTTTAATTGGAAGTTACAATTAGTTACCCTACTGATTAAATGTGAATTTGCTATTATAATCGAAAGGATTGAACAACATTGCCATGAACGTTGGGATGAAACGCTTCAAAAAAAACAGTTAAATATGGCGGTTTATGTAAAGAAGACAATGATGCTCAACCACTGGTTGGACCAAATATTTAGATGAAATAGTTGCATTAAAAGTTCATAATTATACATCCTCTTAGCAAATGCTTAAAGCTGATTGGAAACATTATACGAGAGCGACACTCAAAACTAATTGCACACTTCTTCATAGTTCAAATTCAATTCTTTAAATAAAACAAATGGTTTGTAGTGATAGCGAACGTATGATCCAATTCAACCATAACTGAAAACTTGCATTCTTGCGAAAACGCTAAAAGAGACGTAGAAAAACCAACCGAACGAATAATGAAATTTGCGCTCTCAATAGAAGTAAGGGTACCCCCCACCCCCTTGTAAATACTCGTTCAATATATATATCGTTATGCAAACTCTTCAATTTTAATTAACTCCCATAATGTTAATTCGTTTTGTAAATTGTGCGTGATCAATAACTACTCTACGCACAAGTAGTTGTTGTTATAATTTACTTTGATTTTATTAAGGTATTGTTCAGATACCTATAAGTGATTATAATTATTAGTAAATGTCTAGTAGGCGATATACCTATTATTATGCATAAAGTTAGTCATTCACTTTTGTGTCATTGTTACCTTTATCTTTCTTTCTAAAATTATTTTACTGTTATAAACTGTACGATAATGAAGATATTTTATCTTATTTTTTCGACATGTGTCGCTACAACCGGTAAGTTACTATAGGACGGTAAACTAAATAGTTTTTCAGTAGAAACCGGAAGTTATAAATTATCGTCTTCAATATCAATTAAATGTAAACCATCAAACATTTTAAAAACTGTATTCGAATAAAATGCGATGGCATATGTATACTCCTTGCGATAACGACTGAGATTCAATTTTGATTCAAACTCCTAAACAGCATCAAAAATATCAACATACTATTCTGATTTTTATATATTTTTTTTAATCGTTAGCAGTTACTTAATACAAATTATCATTACAAAAATTCTAAAAATTTGAAACTTGTTAAAACATCATTTCATTAATATGTATTATACTTTTGTATGAGATTAAAATTTAAAATTGTTTTGTTTAAAAAGTTTGATTATATCTGAATAATCCGAAATAACGAAAAATAGTTTTATAGTTGTAGCGTAAAATCAAAATCAGTATAGTGTAATAGTTATGTGATAACATAAGGTCTTATCAAGGTGGCTTTTCTGAAGTGAAATTAATGTATTAACTTCTAAAAAACTTGATAAAACCTTACACCTAAGGCGAAACGTTGATGGTCGTTTTTATAATAAAAAAAGTATTACCCTATACTGGCTTTGATTTTACATTACAATTGGAATAGCATTAGAAAAGAAAATGGAAATTAAAGCATAAAAGGTAAAGGGAGGGGTACTGTTTAGCGTGACGAGATGTGACAAGGGTGAAGGGTAGTTCTGAGGAAACGTGACGTTCGCTGTACATCAATTGACAGTCTGTAAATAAATATAGCTATATATTTAGGGGTCGTGATAATTTGCAATTTTTTCGTTTAACTTGAAAGCTTATTTTCTCGAGGACACATCTCCCAGAGCTTTTGTAAACCCCCCCCTTCTCCTGCATTCTCTCCAAGAAACTCATTGTCTACTAGAAACAGCGAAAATTGTATTTCTTTTTGCTTCATTTTTCCTCCCCTTTCTTAGTACCACAACGCATAGCAACTTCCACACTGCCCTACACAACGTAATATATAATTTTTCCGCCCCTACATGTTCCTTTTCTTGAGCCTAAATATAAAATAGCCTGAAGGAGCATTCAATTTTCACAAAATTTCTGTTGGTTACTACCCTATTTCTAAGCCATTTAACACAAATGTTCTAAATGAGCCCAACGACTTCATTGCGTGTGAACACTTAAGTGGAATCAGTATTGGAAATCTGTAATGATAAGGTGGCTTATCAAGAACAACATCTCAACTAAAAAAAGAGTAGGTACTCATAGGAACCTGTAAGGAGAACGTTGGCCGCTAGTTTTGCATTTCAAATTTCTCGAGTGAATTTATTCAAGGCAAGAATAGAGCTACTGCTACACTATATTTACATTTATCGCCGAAGTTGGACAGTTCCTCGGTCTTTACAAAGCAAAATAACAGACAGAACAGGTAATTTACATTTATGAACCTCCTGCAAGATTAGATACAAGAAGAGGTTACAAAATTATTACAATATTAGGAATTAAATTCTGCTTAATTCAACATGATTTTATCAGACAGGCAGCTAATAAGTATTAGAAGTTTTCACTAACAACTTCCCTCATTATCATCATCATAAAGTCGTCAGTCCTAAGACTGGTTGGACACTCATCTCCACCCTTTTCTATCCTGAGCTAATCTTCGCATTTCCCTAAAACTAGAACAGCCCATATCCTTAACTATTTGCGAACAGTAATCTAATTTAGGTCTACCTATACCCCACCTAACTTCTGTTTCTGCCTCTAACATGTCTCTGACTAGGCCTTCATGCCTGAGAAGGTGTCCTACCAATTTATCTCTATCTATTTCTTATTGACTTCCATAGAGTCCTCTGTTCTCTTACTCTTTCTAATACTTCTTCATTTGTAACCTTCTCTATCCACGGTATCCTCATCATTCACCCGTAAAACCAGAACAATCCACATCCTTAACTACTTGCGAACATAAATATAATCTAGGTGTACCTCCACCCCTCCTGATTTCCGTTTCTGCCTCTAATATGTCTCCGACTAGACCTTCATGCCTGAGAAGGTGTTCTACTAACCTATCTCGCCTATTCCTTATTGACTTCCATAGAGTCCTCTGTTCCCCTATTGTTTCTAATACCTCTTCATTTTTAACCTTCTCTATCCTTATCATTCGTTTGTAACACCACTTTTCAAACGCTTCTAATCTTTTCCGCCGTGTTCACCCTTCACGTTTCACACTCGTTCAGCGCCGTGCTCCAAACATCACCTTTAACAACCTTTTTCATATTTTCCTAAAACATATCCGAATACAAAATGCTTTCTGTTTCTAGACAGTGTATCGTTTTCTAGATAGTTAAAACATGTAATATTCAAATAGAGGCAGTGTATCGCCTTCTGGTAATTATTTGCTGCTAATGAACTAATCATCAACATAACGTCGTCAATTCTAAGACTGGTTGGACACGCACCTGCACTCTTTCCTATCCTGAGCTAATCTTCGTATTTCCCTAAAACCAGAACAACTCACATCCTTAACTATTTGCGAACAGTAATCTAATCTAGGTCTACCTCTACCCCTCGTAACTCCTGTTTCTGCTTCTAATATGTCTCTGACTAGACCTTCATGCCTGAGAAGGTGTCCTACCAACCTATCTCGCCTATTTCTTATTGACTTCCATAGAGTCCTCTGTTCTCCTATTCTTTC